AATAGCACTTTACCCCTGCTTATATGCCGTGAGCTGATTATGGAGCCTTCATTGTAACAGTAATTCAGATGCAATTAGCCTATATAAAAGGCCTCAAATTGGAAGCATTGTCTGGGCCGTCTTTTTCACTCAATTCTGCAATAGGTAGATCTCGCCTTTCACCTAGGCCAGGGGTCGGTGGTCTTGGGCTTAAAAAGGTTGGTGACCACTGATGTAGACAGCCAGTCACCCTGTGTGAGGCAGACCACATCATGTAGACAGCCAGTCACCCTGTGTGAGGCAGACCACATCATGTAGACAGCCAGTCACCCTGTGTGAGGCAGACCACATCATGTAGACAGCCAGTCACCCTGTGTGAGGCAGACCACATCATGTAGACAGCCAGTCACCCTGTGTGAGGCAGACCACATCATGTAGGCAGCCAGTCACCCTGTGTGAGGCAGACCACATCATGTAGGCAGCCAGTCACCCTGTGTGAGGCAGACCACATCATGTAGACAGCCAGTCACCCTGTGTGAGGCAGACCACATCATGTAGACAGCCAGTCCCCCTGTGAGGCAGGCCACTTAACAGGCCAGGCCATCGGGAAACCCCCCGGTCCTCCCGATGGCCAGTCCGGGACTAGAGTAGTAAAGCGAGGATCATTTTCCACAAGTTAATTGATCGCAGATGGCGTCGCGGTCGCGGACGGAAAAAAATAAGTAATTATGCCTGCGATTTAAAGGGTGGTATCGTTTTATAAAATGAGAAATATAATGGCCAATGATCTTTAAAGTTAACATAAGAGTACAAAGTAATGTCATAAATCTGCTTTCTTACACCCTAAAAAAAATAACGTAATACAATATTAAATATATATTTTCCATTTTGAATTTAGCTGATTTAATTATAATTCTACTCACTGTTTCAGCATAATTCCACTTTTCTCTGTCTGTTCTTGCAGATGTGATCGCCCACTGTGTGCGTGTGAAACCTGTCCTGGATCTGGTGCATAAGATCATCAGCACAGACTGGACTGTGTCCGACTGTCTGCTGCCTCTCACCTCACGCATCTACATGCTGCTGCAGAGGTAAACTCACTTGCATACCTCCTTAAAAAACATGATTGAGTACTGCCTATTTGATATGAGATTGTATTAGTCTCTTTGTGTTTACCATCTGTTAGGTTAACATCAGTCATCAACCCTCCAGTGGATGTGATCGCCTCATGTGTGAACTGCCTCTCTGTACTGGCTGCAAGGATGCCTGGGAAGGTGGGGATCCTGGGAGACGTAAAGCATTTTATTGTTTTTAAATTCACACACATCTGATGTATCTTTTGTTCTGTATCTCCAGGTGTGGTCCAGTCTGCACCACACAGGTTTCCTCCCCTTTGCCTCCAACCCTCTGACCAACATGGCTCAGTGTGTAAGGTACAGTCAAAACAACTCTCTGTGCTGATTTGCAAAATTCTGCTCAAATTTAGGGTGGAAACTTTCCATGGGATATTCGGCAGATCATTTGTATATTAACACTTTATGGAAAAACTAACAAAAATCACATACTTAATGGATGCTGGAAAATCTTTACACATGATGGAACCATACTCATTGAATTGAATGGTCACAATTAATGCATTGTGTTTTTATAGTGCTGAAGGGATGAAGGCAGGAAACTACGGCAACCTGCTGGTCCAGATTGAGCAGCCAAAGGGGGAGTATGCTGTGACCATCGCCTTCCTGCGTCTCATCACAACTCTGGTCAAGGTAACAACAGTTATTGACCTATAGATATGAACTATTTAACGTCCCTTAAGAATTCAAACGGTGCCTTTTTTTAACCTAAAATAAAGGTCTTAATGTCCTGAAGCTATGATGCAAGTGATATCTGTGTTCTCTCAGGGTCAGCTGGGCAGCACTCAGAACAAAGGTCTGATCCCCTGTGTGCTGCTGGTGCTGAAGGAGATGCTGCCCACCTACCACAAGTGGCGTTACAACACCTACGGGGTCAGAGAGAGGATAGGTAAGGCACTTCATAATAAGAGTCTGACCTGACTGTCAAAGAAAATGTAAATGAACTCCAGCTCTTTTGTGTTTCTGCAGGATGTCTTATTTTAGAGCTGATCCATGCCATTCTCAATCTGAGTCCAGAGGGAGAGGATCAGGCCAGGTGAGAACAGCTCAACATTCAAATCTTTGAAATAAGTTTAGGTTCTGAACAGTTTCATGTCAATTCAGTGAATGAAAAATCAAACAGGCTGCTAGGAATAATACTTTTGAAGTTCTAGATTCCCAACTGTGGGTTTCTGTGATTAATGATCCCTTTGTTCATTCACATGAAACATTTAGTTTCACAGTTAGTTCTTCACCTTTTTCTAATGCAGTGGCTGAAAAATCGATCTCAGCTCAAGGACCATATACTCGCTTATACATAAACATGTCTTTAATTATTCTTGAGCTGAACCAATGAATGGTTTCCGAGTTAATCTTCATCAATTTCAGCAATCAATGCATTGTCTAAGTCTTTTTTTCAAACTAAAATCATAACCAATTGTTTGGTCCCTGCTTCTCAAATGCTTGTATATCTGTAATTGTTTGTCCCCTTCTTGCAGCACCCCCACCCTCCAGTCTCTGTGTATCTACAGCCTGGCCAACACTGAGGCTGGACAGGCGGTCGTCAACATCATGGGGGTCGGAGTGGACACCATCGATGTGGTGCTGGCTGCTCAGCCCAGCAGGTAAACACACACATTTATGCCTGATTTGAGTATTTGTGTAAATATCCCAATAGTCCCAAGAAAGAAATCTGTATTTGGTCCTTAAAATACCCCACCATGATTATTTTATTACATTTCTCAAGGCAAATGAGAACAAAGATGCTATATCTTAAATCATGTGGAATTGCAATATTAATCCAAATCAATTGTGATTAGATATATTTAAGAAATGTTGCAGTGCAAATTCAATAATTATATTTTGTGATCTTTCTCTGTGATGCTGTCCAGCTCCGAGGGTCCCGGGCAGATCCTGATCCAGACGGTCAAGCTGGCCTTCTCCGTCACCAACAACGTGATCCGCCTGAAGCCTCCGTCTGACGTGGTGTCTCCTCTGGAGCAGGCGCTGACGCAGCACGGAGGCCACGGCAACAACCTCATCGTGGTGTTGGCCAAGTATATTTACCACAAACACGACCCAGCGCTGCCCCGCCTCGCCATCCAGCTGCTCAAGAGGCTCGCCACGGTATTTACCATTTATATTGCTCCGATCGTTATCGGCCGATATTCACTCTGCCGATCGATCGGTGCTCTCTATAAAGGCCGATTAGGAGAGCCGATCGCATGACGTAAAATACATGAGACTTTTCTCTGTGCGCGGCAAAACAAGCTCGCCAAAATGGCTTCACCGGTCTGGCAGTATTTTAAGGTGTCCGAAAAAGACAGTAAAATAGCGGTATGCAACGTGAAGCAGAAATCCTGCAGCTCCGCCCACTGTGACGGACCGGTGAGTGGAGCAACACACACACTAAGAGTTAGACCTAACACACTTAGCTATTTGATCTACCTCTGGAACAAGCTAAACTAGTTATACGTAATCATTATGTTGGTTGTTGTTGGAAGCTCCAGTGAATGAGCATTAACTGAGTTTTAAACATCACTTTAAATGGAAGATCCCCATAGGCCCCGCCCACTCGATCGGTATCGGTCGATACTGATTCCGGCGATCAGTTCCAAAATTGGCGATGGGAGCATCCCTACTATTGACTTAGTTTGTCTATGCATATACTTTCTTCAAAATACATCAAGTATAAATAAAACATGACAAAGAAACATGCCTGAACGTATGTCTTACATTCAACCCTATCCCAAAGAAGACTTCAGAAATATAGAACATGCACTTATTTGCTCATAATCTTTAATTATAGCCACATTGTCAATGTCTGATTGCCAGCTGTTTTAAAAGCAAATACTCATAGTTCATACCCGTAGTCCAATTTATATTCTGTCTTGTAGGTGGCTCCCATGATCATTATTTGCAGGCCTGGAAACATAAATGAAATTGATCATATCCACATTTTTCAAATCCATATTTTTGCAAAAATATGTTTGAATCATATATTTTTGAATGTATATATTTGTAATGATATCCCAAAGAGGACTACAGGGAGAACATAAATACACCTATTATCCAGTTTAGCATAAATGTATTCATTGTTTATGTTTGATAACCAACTGTCTGAAATGAGATGTTCTCTTGTTTTACTCCTTTTATCATTTATGCACCAAGACTTCCCAGAGTGTTAGAAAAGTCACAAAAAACAGTTGTCGAAAATGTCTAGGAACCCTGATCGTTGTTGTAAGTGAGGGGTTCATTTTGGACTTTTGGAGATGTGGTGTTGTAGAACAGCAAACATTCCCGGTATTCAACGTGTCTTCTGTCTTCAGGTGGCTCCCATGTCAGTCTACGCTTGCCTGGGCAACGATGCAGTAGCTATCCGGGACGCCTTCCTCACTCGGCTGCAGAGCAAGACAGAAGACATGAGGATCAAGGTGATGATCCTGGAGTTCCTCACGGTTGCGGTGGAAACGCAGCCCGGCCTCATCGAGCTTTTCCTCAACCTGGAAGTCAAAGATGGGACAGAGGGTTCAAAGGTAGGAACGGCAGAGATATATGAAGCGTCTCTACGTGTATATTGCTGCATCTGGATCTAAGATATGGTTTCCTTTTAGGAGTTCCTGCTTGGTGAGTGGAGCTGCCTCCATGTGGTGCTGGATCTGATCGACTCCAAACAGCAGGGGAAGTATTGGTGCCCCCCCATGCTCCACAAAGCAGCGCTGGCCTTCCTGCTCGCCCTCTGGCAGGACCGCAGAGATAGTGCCATCTCTGTCCTGCGCACTAAGTAAGCAATTACCTTTTCTGCATCAAAATGTGTTCATTAAGTTCTGGACGAAGGGGGTGGAATATATATATATATCAGTCCATCAGGGCCAGATTTGAGAAAATGAATGAAGGAAAGAATGAGCCTTTTTATGTGGTTTGACTCGATCAAACCCTCAATCATATTTATTCTATTTTCTTAAGTGACTGTTGTGTGCACGCTTTTTATCCCCCCAAATGTTCCGTTTTTCAATGTTGGTAAAGTCTGTGGCCAGCAGAGGAAAAACCCCACTTTTTGTCCCGATACGTTTTGTTATATTAACTAGACCCTCCAGAAAAACGCGGGCAAAATTCCTTGATTATGCGATTAAGGCGAGACACGGCAGGCAAAAACATCGTTTTTCATGCCCATGTCAATTTTGAGATTTTGTGCTATTTTGATTCAACAAGATGTTTTCTTTCAGGCTTTTGGAAGGAAAACGTACAAAATACACATTTAGGTGTTTATTTTACTATAGTTTGTCTATTTCCGTCGGTAGATTTCTCCTAAATTCACCAAAAGTTAGCTTTCTAACGTAACATAAAGTGCCGTGACCGCTGTTTGCTCCATGTCATGAGAGGTACCGTTGGAAAGCTCAGGTTCTCCTGCACAATCTCATCGGATCCAAATATGGTCATTTCCTTTGTATCAGCAACCAATCGTGAAAGTACAAAGGGGTCATCTGACCAAAGAACGGAATCTTATTGGCTGGTGTCAATTTCTGACAACGTGATTCGTTCAGATGCGTCACGTGGTGCCCCATGACACTTCCTTGTTTATATTTGCGCTGAAAATTTAAATCTCAAAATGCCGAAACATCCGCGAAAAAATCGTTCAAAGAGAAGAGGACAACAATTGTCACTTGCACGTAGCAAGGTAGAAGACAAAACAAATGACCCCGAACCTGAAAAACCTTCACTTAGTGCGTCAATGCGCAAGCTGTCACCCAAAGAGCAGGAGGGTTTAGATAGCGCCACACAGCAGTGGCTGATAATACATGTAGCGCGGCTGAATGAACTGCTCAGTGGGTTGATTTGCCCAAATTGCGAAAGGGACAGGGCTCAAAGTTAACATCGATCCGCAAAACCATGGTTTCTGTAGCAGCTTAATTTTAGAGTGCAGTCTGTGTGATGGTGGGTACCGCAAAAGTGTGTACACATCTACACGTCTTCAAGACGAAACAAGGAAGGATGTTGCTTTTGATGTGAATGTGAGAATGGTGCTCTTAGCGCACGAGTTAGGCTTGGGCTATGCAGCTCTGAAGAAAATAAGCAAAGTGTTGGGGATTCCTGCACTTCATCTCAAAACCTATCAGAGACATGACAAGAGAGTGACAGGTATAGAAACAGGATTGAGACCGAGAAAACTTGAACTATTGAATTCAGAGTATAACTTATCAGGACATTCAGTTGACTTATTTTTTTCTCTTATTAGTGGCAGAAATAGAGAGAGGCCTGGAGTCACTTCACAGGACAAGGGAGCAGGTCAGGCAGGCTTATGCAGATGTGGACCCAGATGTTGCAGAGTTGCTGAGGGAGGATGCAGAGGCAGTTATAAACATCAGCGTGTCATTTGATGGCACATGGCAAAAGCGAGGCTTCACATCCCATTATGGGATCGGTGTGTGCATTGACATCCTTACTGGATTGGTGATAGACTATGAAATCCTATCATCCTATTGCCATGCTTGTGCTCTAAAGGGAAATGCCAAGCAAGAGCAAAAGATTACAGAAGAGGAGTATGACAGTTGGCGACAGACACATAGTGATTGTGCAAGAAACTTTGCAGGGTCAAGCAAGGCAATGGAGCAGGAGTCAGCCAAGAGGATGTGGGCCAGGTCTGTGAATCGCCACCAGGTGCGGTACACAGAGATGTTGTCAGATGGGGATAGCGCAGCATTTAGGGAGGTGGTTGCACTGAACCCATACCCTGGGCATGAAGTGGTGAAATTAGAGTGCATTAATCATGCCCACAAGCGAATGGGTACAGCACTCAGAAAAATGAAGTTCACAGAAAAAGTTAGGAGGGAAGGGTGGTAGGGAAGCTGACTGCAAAGAATGCAAAACTTTGCAAAATTATTACAGGGGGGCAATTCTCAACAACCAGGGTTCAATCGATAAAATGAAGGGAGAAATATGGGCAGGTCTCCTCACGGCATGTCTACTGATGACAGGCCCCTTACACACCAGGTGCAATCCCTCCTGGTGTTGTATAGGAACAGGCAGAGGATAATGGGGAAACACCTGGGCACAAAGACTGCGGAAACTTTTATAAGCGAGAGGTGGGCGAGAAGCTTATCCCTGTGTACCACCGCATGCAAGTGACAGCCTGCTCAGAGAATGCAGCATGGAGGTACTCAAAATGCAATGTGTGCCTCAACTCTGTGATATGGGCGCGGTCCAAAACGGTCTTTGTGGGGAAAAGCGAGTTGAGGCAGCTCGCAAGATGTCCATCGCCCCTTCATGGCCAGGGTGGGTGAGATGCTGGTTCAGTGCACACCACCTCCTACTTCAATAGTTGCTCTCCGCCGCCATGTACTACTATCCATCTGACAAGCATCTCTGTTACCGCACAGTTGACAGCCTGCTCCAGAGATTGCAGCATGAGGTAC